GCCCCCCTCTGAAGCTGGAAACCTTGTTTTTGCAAAATAAATTGATGCAATTTGCTATTATAGGCTTAATCAATAAATTCCTCATCAACAGATATAACCTTAAACATTCTTGGAATTGACATAACATTACTGATGTCGTACACACCCTTCAGTGTGAAATGTGGCCCTCTTTGCAAGCACATCTAACATCTAAGGAAAGAAGAGCTTAGATTGGTGCCAGATAAAATAATTTTGTTATCAACATTAATACATTATGCTAATTTTCATCTTTGTAAGCACATAAGACTGCAAATTATTTCTGTGACAGTCTTTTGAAGTGGGTAAAGCTCCATTTTATCTCATACATAGTCAAAATATTTGGGGGGATGATACAATGGACCATCCCCCCTTGTCAAATATTGGGGGGGATATATCCCCTCCATCCCCCCCGGGATCTACGCCTATGTACACAACTAACATCTTTTAATTTAAAATTAGTATGTAACTTTAATTTCCAATACACATGGTAACAGTACTGCTCTCCTGCATATCAGGTTTAAACACACACATATAACTTTCAGATAATTTGATGACCACTAAATGATAGTTTGTATCGGGTGTCACCTGGGATTAAATATGTTTTAAAGCAACTTTAATAATGACTTGAATGCTTCAAATTGTGTAATATTTCCAGTGCTCAAATTAAAATCCATATTCTTTGGTTGTCAAAAGCAAAGCTGTATAGAAAATCTACACCAAGTAGAGGTCATAACAGAAACGAACAAAAAATGAATAGAAATCAAGGTATATAAAAAGAAAGCAAAGCAGAAAAAAATCCAGTCACCAAAAATATTTTTATGACAACCTAAAGACTGCCTCTGATGATATATTATGTAGGGCTGTTTCGTATGATGCTGAGTTGGGCTTAAGAATGGCTAATCATTAACATAGAAATAATAATATGTAGGTTTTTATTTAGTGCTCTATTCAACTAAGTCTCAGAGCGCTTTTCCACATTATTACCCCAGTCACCGGAGCGATGCCTATGGGGGATTTTTCCATAGTTTGCTGCATGAAATATTTCAGCGCATTTTTCACTCGAACCTCCTTAGGTACCCACTTATACTCCTGGGTGGAGAGAAGCAATGCAGGTAAAGTGTCTTGCTCAAGGAAACTCGCACCAAACCGCTTCCACTTAAAGTAATGAGCAAGTGAAGTGGAACCATTTTTGCATTTTTTATAGCTGGATACAAGACGTTAGAGAGAGCCATATTGGAATTTGAGTGCCTGAGTAATGTAAAGGTCTCATAGCCATAAAATAAAAGGGTTGTTTAGACCCAACTGTATATCTGTAAAAGAATCCCCTATAGAATGTATTTTGAATTCACAGATTTGCAACTGGGTTCATACAATATACAAAAATTATTTTTAAAAAATTGAAAAATATGGAATTTTACCATGTGAGGATGATAAACTAATTATTAATTTTATGGGCCTGCTTAACATATAAATGATACAGAATTAAGTTAGCATATCAGCAGAGATTGTACACTCAACGTACTTACTTTGTTACAGCTCCTTTTACAAGCAGATCTTTGAGGGTCAATTTAAATATTTCTACACTGTGAGTCTTCAACCAATCAGCGGAGGTTTGTCCTTCGTTAAATGCAGCACGCATGTCTCTTGCTCTCTACAATTAAAAAAAAAATTATCATTATCATTATTATTATTATTTATATCATTTATATAGCACCTTTTCTTTGTAGATACAAAGCGCTACTTTTCCCTAGTCATTGGGTCCACAACTTTACTAAAACATCAATTTTAAAAATGATAAATATTTTCAAACAGCTCATTTCAGTTGTTTCTCTCTACATTTAACAAAATGTTTTCACCCTGACAAATAATGAAAGGACTACTTAAACTTACTATTGCATCATGGGTTTGATTGATGTCTGTGACGTACAAGTCTGGCGTTGGTGCCGCCATGCCTGTAGAAGATTCTGTCCACTCTGGCCTGGAATCAGGGTCCAGTTTTCGTGTTTTAAATCTTACCAGGCGAGGGTTTCGCAGAAAAGGTCTTTGATTTTCCTCACGGTCATCTGACTGAGTTAGGAATGCTTTCTGGGACCTGTTGGAAATTTTTTTAAATATAAACAAAGCTATGTTAATTGCATATACCCAAGATAAGATAAAGTCGCCTCCAGTAGTTTGGAAACATACAGAGAATGGACAATATCTAACTTTCAATAAGAATTGGTGGCAGACCTCGTACAACACAACAGGTGAGACCATAGTTTAGATATTCCAACAACTAGACTGCTAACTAGGCGACAATGTAATGTAGAGTTGTTATTGCAACAATAAATAAGGCCTCTGACTAATTATTATTTATTTTAGGTTAACATCGTGACTAAATTTCCTGATAAATTATTAAGTACAGATCTACCTGCACCTGTCTCTGTCTCACCTGAATTTGGTACTGGGTCTGTCAGTTTAAAAGTTTGTGAATAATTGTTGGCAGCCATTTTGAATTTTTACACATTAAGTTAATTTTTCAAAATGTTGGATAATACAAATAAACAGGTAAAACATTATCACTTAATTAAATAAGCAAGCACTGTAAACTAAACAATTATATTCATTTATTTATTGGGTCTTTCCACTTTGGAATATCGATGTTTAAGGGCAGATATGATCCAGGTATATAGAATACTATACGGTATTGACAATCTAGATATTTCACATTTACGCATTCTACAACTCGTGGTCATAAGCTTAAATTGTATAAAAGTAGGCCTCGTTTGGACATTAGAAAATCTTCTTTTAGCTCTAGAGTGACTGATCCTTAAAACAGTCTCCCTCAAGAAGTTGTGATATCTTCCAGTTTAAATATGATTTAAATCAACGTTGGTTTGCACTTCCATGTAAATTTACTTTTTCACATTTATAAAGACAACACTTCACATATTTCTATTTCCTTTCATCTTGCTCATCACCCAACGGTACTGAAGAGTTGAAATTTTTTCAATTTCTGAATTGGATGTGTCATTTTAAGCTTAAAACTTCTTTAAACAACCCAATACTTCAAGCAAGTATTCAAGCAAGTGTTTTATTTAATTCTTCCAACAGTGATATCGCTACTTGCAGGTATGAACAATTATGTAAATTAGAAATACAAGATTATGCTAGCAGATGGGATCACCACAATGGTTAATCTCAAATTGTGAGTTACAAGAAAATATGGTAAACAAAATATGTTAATAAAATTATAACTAAAATAAAATAAATATATCATAAATTGAAATAAATAAATAAAATAAAAATAAAATAATTTATAATTTATTTAATAATAATAATATAATAATATTAAATTTTAAATATTATATTTTATATAATTTATTTTAATAAATAAAATAATCCTTTAAAAAGTTAAGTTAAGAAAACACCTACTTGATAATACATAAAGTTTTGTATAACTTGCAACTCCCTGATTCTGTGAAATTTCATTTTAATTATATTTCCCTTTTTAACTGCATATTTTTTTTTTTTTTTTTTTTTTTTTTTTTTTTTTTTTTTTTTTTTTTTTATTTTTGCTTTTGTGAATCTTGCATTTTATTCGCTTCTATTTTACTGGACCTTTCTATTTGTTAGTCTTTGAATTGTTTTTTTATTGAATTTGTAAATATTTGAATTTTAACAATGTAATCTGTTGTATGTACAGGGGTTGCAGACACATTCGTGTTATGGCGCATTGTTGCTGATACAACTCCTGGACCGTTTGATGTCAAATAAATAAATGAAAATGAAATGAAATGAAAATGAACTAAAGGCCGATTTCTGCGCAGATTTTGTCGAAAATTAGGCTTTGACCAAATCTTAATATATAACCAATGCAATTTTGCAGAAATTATGATTCCACACACCTATTTTCCTAGAGATTTTAAGTTCAAATTTGAGCTGATTTTTTTAGATATCCCTCCGCACAATTAAAAAAAAAAAAACGGCATAAAAGCATCCTTTCTGAAGAGAGAAATAAAATAACAATCAAACTATTAAAAAAAAATGTTTACCTCTTGGTATGCTTATTTGTATGTATTGATTCAAGAACCTCTTCATGTTCCTGATCATCCTCATCTCCAGCTTCCATATTCCCCATTCCTTCTAGGCGTCTAAGTAGCTCATTTTCTTCTTCTTCATCATCAATAGCAATACCATAATCTAAATATGCATTTCTACTGTATGGATGTCTTGCACTGTGCACCATGAGAAACAAAAAATCAAATATTTAAATTAATTAGTTGATTAGTCTGTAAATGATCTTTTTTTAATGATAAAAAATGATTACTTATTAAGTATAATTTCTTCTTGCATAAATTTCAATTTTTTTAATTGCATGTACAGTTTGCGTTTCTGGAGAAAATCCATGAATGATGAATGATATGGTATAGATAGAAAGTTACGGTCCTACTAAATACCACACGGAACCACTCGCGACCACACGGGACCACTCGGGACCACTCGCGACCACACGGGTGCAAAAAGGATAAAAATATTACCACACGAGAGTAGAAAACTACTTAATAATCAATAGAAACCAACTTTTAGTACGGTAATTATCCAAAATATGGTAAAAATGATTTTTTTTTACAGGTTTTTCCGCCGTGCTTCGGAAGGTAATGCGGTGACATTGAGGTTCTGTAACGCATTCACGTTTCCAGAAACGCGTTCAACCTTGACCTCTACAGCATTCACTACGTACAGTACGTTACATTTCATCCTGCGTGTATGCCTATTGTATGTATAGGCCTATTATTCTACAATAACTGTATTTATTACTGTAT